TGAAGGAAAAAAAAAGTGAATGGCATCCAATATGGTGGGTTAAAAAATTAACAAATGAACGGGTAAAGAGAATAAGAAGAAAAAAAAAACAGAAAGAAAAAAAAAAACGGAAGAATTTCCATGACAAATATAAAGCTAGGGTGGGCCACGAAAAAGTAGCTCGCCTTATGGTTAATAGTTTGACAAGATGAAGGAGCAAGTTGATTAGTTTTATTCATTAAGTGAAGGTTCACACTGAGGATTTGTTGCAGCTACAACTACAACAGAGCTCAGTGGGGAATATCATGTTGAGAGTGTGATGACACAGAGACATCCCACGTAGGTGTCTTCAATGAGCAGGCGGCAAAATGGCACCTGATGCAGACGTTTTGTTTCTATTGATCGATTTTTTAGATGTCTGAGATAGCGCTACGGTCAGAAACCTGGGACTGCATGTGTCTCTTGAAATGAATAAAAATCAGATTCTTTTGGTAAAAAATAAAATTTTCCCACGCAAGAGAAAATTAAAAAGTAACATTTAAAAAAATAGATATTTTTTTAAAATCTATACCATTTTTTAAATTAAAAACAAGTCATTATTCTAGTAAAATCTCTTTTAGTCTTGGCATCAAACTTAAAATTTTGGAATAAATTTTAATCTTCAAACTACATAATATGGCTATTATTAGTAGTACCGGTACTATCGAATACAACATGTCTAAACAAGTCAGCTGATAATTAAATTCTTCGTGTGTGTTTTATTATTAATTTTTTTTTTTTAAAAGACCGACCACTCCATTTTCTACCGGTTGCTACGCTACTAAGCAGTCAGCTGATGTTAACGCATTCGCATAAAAGAAAATAATACGATTGGATTTTTCCTGTATATTGCCAGCAAACAATATAGTGCAACACTAAAAAATGACAACAACAACAACACAAAGCCCCCCAAAAACCCCGTTTGGTTGAGAATCCAAGTAAGAAATCCACGGTGAGAAACTACCTTCATAAGCCATAAGTCATAAGTCACAAGCCATAAGTCATAAGTCATAAGCCCACACTTTACGGCAGATACTCGGACGACTCAATTGTCTTTGCCCAACCTGTAATTAGAGCAGCAGGGACAACATTACCTTTGAAAAGAAATGTTAAATTCTAAAGAAACAAAAAAACTTGAAGGTTCAATAGATGAATCGAATGTTTCACTTAGGACAAGTCTACTGCGTCATGACTTCCGGAGAACACTTGTCAAGACTCTTGCTACGTCACAAATACAAATTTCCGAATTATACCGACCCTCCCCCCAACTTCTCCGACAAAGAGTGCTTTTATTTGACGACATCACAACACAACGTCTCTGGTCTTAAAAAGCTACTGGCGGGAAAGACCTTCCATGTCTATTGACACGGTTAAACAAACTGTGCACCTATGATGAAAAATGATTTACTGTTATATAGTAATCCACTACCGGTACCTCATACCTCCACATTTAGCACCCCCCCCCCTCCCCCTTTCTAAGTTTCGAAACTAAACATGTGAAGCTAGTGGAAAAAGAGCATTACTTTTGCTTGTTAAAAAAAAAAAAAAAAAAAAAAAAAAAAAAAAAAGAGCAAAAAAAGATGCATGACGTCATTTCTGGAAGGCCCCCGAGCTGTCATGCTGAGGACGAACAATTGTGTTTTAATCAATTATGTATGTTACACAGTTGATGTCGTTTGAGCCAAAGGAAGAACAAAGGAAGCAGCAGTAATTGTAATGGAAAAAAAAAACAACAACTCAGCCCAGAATGTTCTCCTACTTAAACAGTGATTAAAGGGGGATAACTCTAAGCCAGGGCACAGGCCTCACCAAGCCGCCATGTTGACTCTTGAGGCGGGAAGCTAATCATGGACGGTTCAAAGTGATCTTTGAAAACGGGAATATCTTGATAAGATGTGTCCGCGGCGAGGAGACGGGCTTTGTGGTTTTCATCTTTAGTGGCTGGTGGCATCTCCAACTGAATGTCAGCGGTTGCCTTTGGAGAATGTCCATCGCAGAATTTTTTTAAATTTTTATCAGCAACGGTGGTGGAGTGGATTAAAACGAGCAAGAGCTTCTACAGTCACAGACCCAATAATTAGCATAAACATTGGTTTTATGTTCAATCCGTAGGCCTATAAATTAGACACATGTTAGAAGATAATATTCACACCGGAACTACTTTTGCTTCGCGTTTATTTCCTGCTGTACAACCCGACTTCCTCCCCCCCCCAACCAAACACATTAAATGGGATTATGTTTAACAAATTTTTAAAATGACTTTTGAAGATTAGTAACTTAGTAACATTATTTTGTTACAACTAAATGCCGTTTTTAATTTTAGGAATGTCAAACTAAAACATTAGAAAAAACAAAAACACAAAGCAATTTTTGTTTTCAACTCTTCTACGCCTGTACGCTTGAAGGAAAAAAAAAGTGCATGGCATCCAATATGGCGGGTTGAAAACTTAACAAATGATCGGGTAAAGAGTATAGGAAGAAAAAAAAAACAGAAAGAAAAAAAAAAACGGAAGAATTTCCATGACAAATATAAAGCTAGGGTGGGCCACGAAAAAGTAGCTCGCCTTATGGTTAATAGTTTGACAAGATGAAGGAGCAAGTTGATTAGTTTTATTCATTAAGTGAAGGTTCACACTGAGGATTTGTTGCAGCTACAACTACAACAGAGCTCAGTGGGGAATATCATGTTGAGAGTGTGATGACACAGAGACATCCCACGTAGGTGTCTTCAATGAGCAGGCGGCAAAATGGCACCTGATGCAGACGTTTTGTTTCTATTGATCGATTTTTTAGATGTCTGAGATAGCGCTACGGTCAGAAACCTGGGACTGCATGTGTCTCTTGAAATGAATAAAAATCAGATTCTTTTGGTAAAAAATAAAATTTTCCCACGCAAGAGAAAATTAAAAAGTAACATTTAAAAAAATAGATATTTTTTTAAAATCTATACCATTTTTTAAATTAAAAACAAGTCATTATTCTAGTAAAATCTCTTTTAGTCTTGGCATCAAACTTAAAATTTTGGAATAAATTTTAATCTTCAAACTACATAATATGGCTATTATTAGTAGTACCGGTACTATCGAATACAACATGTCTAAACAAGTCAGCTGATAATTAAATTCTTCGTGTGTGTTTTATTATTAATTTTTTTTTTTTAAAAGACCGACCACTCCATTTTCTACCGGTTGCTACGCTACTAAGCAGTCAGCTGATGTTAACGCATTCGCATAAAAGAAAATAATACGATTGGATTTTTCCTGTATATTGCCAGCAAACAATATAGTGCAACACTAAAAAATGACAACAACAACAACACAAAGCCCCCCAAAAACCCCGTTTGGTTGAGAATCCAAGTAAGAAATCCACGGTGAGAAACTACCTTCATAAGCCATAAGTCATAAGTCACAAGCCATAAGTCATAAGTCATAAGCCCACACTTTACGGCAGATACTCGGACGACTCAATTGTCTTTGCCCAACCTGTAATTAGAGCAGCAGGGACAACATTACCTTTGAAAAGAAATGTTAAATTCTAAAGAAACAAAAAAACTTGAAGGTTCAATAGATGAATCGAATGTTTCACTTAGGACAAGTCTACTGCGTCATGACTTCCGGAGAACACTTGTCAAGACTCTTGCTACGTCACAAATACAAATTTCCGAATTATACCGACCCTCCCCCCAACTTCTCCGACAAAGAGTGCTTTTATTTGACGACATCACAACACAACGTCTCTGGTCTTAAAAAGCTACTGGCGGGAAAGACCTTCCATGTCTATTGACACGGTTAAACAAACTGTGCACCTATGATGAAAAATGATTTACTGTTATATAGTAATCCACTTCCGGTACCTCATACCTCCACATTTAGCCCCCCCCCCCCCTCCCCCTTTCTAAGTTTCGAAACTAAACATGTGAAGCTAGTGGAAAAAGAGCATTACTTTTGCTTGTTAAAATTCTGTCACCTGGCTGGTGGGTAATTCAATCCACTGTACTCTCCGTCAAGACCCTGTTGAATTTTTGGAGGGAACAAGGGTTGGTCCGAAGCCCAGTTCTGATATATATTTTTGAGCAAACACATTGTGATAAGTTTGTAAAAAAAAAAATTTGTTTGTCCTAAGGGGAAACTATCCTTTAATTAAAAAGAAATTAAGATCAAAGAGTTCTTAGCCTTTGTTTAAAAAAAAAAAAAGAATACTAGCCTTGAACAGATAAGGATGAACAAACACCTCCCCCACACATTCTTTTTTTACTTGTTATTTCTATTAATATTTTGATACACATGAGTGCTGTTCCACAAGGCAATGGTGCTTCAATTCATTTTAAAAATGATGAAAAATACAAAACAACCCAGTTGACAATCGTAAATGCTTTAATTGTTTAAATTGTTGAAATACTAATACTGACAGAGGTAACAGTTTGTCTGGGAAGTTTTTAACTTCGCTGAACAGCCACGTCCATGGCAGAAACAATTTTGTTGATTCTGTGTTTGTTTAGTCCATTGTCTAAGAACGGTATCCAGAATAAGGGCTGGAATTTGTTTAATAAACATTGACATAGATATTAATGTAGATCTATAATAAAACATTTAAAAAAAAATGATGTGATATAGATAAAAACAAAAATTATGCGAGAGACATCATAAAAAAAATCATGTGAACACTTAAAAACTAGAAAAATTGTCCATTTAATTTGCAAAATCAACAAGAAAAAATTAGCTAATTTTAAAATAATTAAAGATAAACTACAACTACTAGAAGATTAATGCATAAAAATATACTTAAAAGATGCCTATTAAATAAAGCAGATGATTCAAGTAAATATAAATTAAATACTAGCTTTAACTAATTATTAACATATGTTAATTTATCCACAAAAAAAAAATTATGATTCCTTTTTTTTATTATGGCAGTGTGGGGATCATACTTTGTAAACATTTTAGGATCTTGGATGAAATTAATTTTAAAATTTTAAAACCCACTATAATTGCACAACTGACCACATTCAGTAAACACGCAAATGGAATAATCAGGGGCAAGAATCCAGAAGAGAAAGACCAGACCTGAGAGAGTAAGCAACTTTTAATGTAGTGTTAACTCAAAATGAAACATGCTTTTAGGGACATAAATGCAATTAAAAAAAAAAATATATATACTTTATTTCAAAGATGGGTTTTTAAGAATAAAAAGTAGAATATAATGTCTCAAAATTCTTTAAGGCAAAGAAAGTATATGCAAAAGGGTAGTAAGGCACTCTACGAGGCAAACAGATTTCAAATTAATGTAGAAGTTTTTTTTTTTTTCTAATTTTTAAAAATATTTTCTTCACAGACTTTCTTGAAGTTTAAGAAAAGTATTTTCAACATTTTAGTGCATTTAAACTCATCTTCAAAAGAAAAACTTTTTTTATAGAAAAATTATTATTTTTTTTTATTTTCTCCTTTTGAGTATGAAAACTTTAAACTGTAAATTATGCACAAAACAATATTTTTTTTTAAAACAAAGAATGCTTTAAATAATCTGGGGTTTTGTGACTTAGATCTTTACCAAGGCATAAATGTAGAATTTAACAACTGCTTGCTGTCTGTTTATCCCAGTGTAAATGCTCAAATGCTTGGCTCCAACACCGTCCCTCATCCCATCCCCAAAATCCTCTAAGACTGATGGTTTTAGTAAGCAAAGGGGTAAGGTTGTTGTTTAACAACCACCTTTTCTGATTTTACCATCACTCACCCCCCCTCCCCAACCCCACCCCTTTTGATCCAGGCATACCAGAGGGAAAACTCAGTTGCGACCTTATAGGTCAGCATGAAGAAGACTGAATCAACCGAACAAAATGGTCACATGTGACAATACAAAAATTATGCTACAAACTGACAAAATCCCATGGATTTGCCAATAGAAAAAATGTCTTTAAAAAGCAATATACACTTATCGAGTGAGCGAGCTATATTCACGTTATTAAAAAAAAATATACAAAAATATCTGCATTTAGTTATTGAATTAATTCTAAGCAATCGAGGGTTTTGATTAAGTTCTGTATAGGGGTTAAATTTTTTACAAGCCTGCAGTAAAATAAGTAATTTCCTTAAAGAATGATTTTACACTGACAGCTTTGATTCAATAGAACATGCTTCAAACTTCAAATAAATAAATGCACATAAACCAACCTCAGCTGTTTTTCCAATAAATTTAATTTCTATAATGTCAAGCCACTCCGCCCTTGTGTACACAAACACTCTGAGGAAACCTCGAGCAACCTGTAATTCAGTCTAGTTTTCAGGTGAAAATGAGTTATTGAACTTGTGAAGTTCAAACAGCAAATCCATTCATTTGGCAAAAATGAGTTATAGAGCTTGTGAAGTGCAAATAGCTATTCAGTTTAAAGGTAAAAATAAGTTATAGAGCTTGTGCATTTAAACAGCAATTCAATTCAAATGAAAACATTATTCAAATGAAGCCTAAAATTCCCAGCTATATAAAACAACGTAAGAATAAGCCTTATATAAAAAGAATTATACTCTTTAAAGCTGGTAATATTAAGAGGGTTATCTGATTTTTGTATACCAAACACAAAATGTTTGCTGAATGAAAGTGCATTTTTTTATTTAAGACATCGTTATGGGTTTAAAAAATAAAGCAGCTGACAAACTTTTTTTGTAAACAACAAGATGATTCAACTTATTTTATAGTAAATTAATGAAGACTGCAGAACTGAGTGAATGATCAGATATGTACAGTATATACTCGCATATAAGCCGAATTTAGAACTATAAAATACAATACTGAAATCAAGGGGTCGGCTTATATGCGCATAAAACAAAATGGACACAAGAACAGACACTAACGCCAATTTTCCAGCCACACATTTTCATCGCTATCTGACTCTTTATTGGGTTGTGTGTACAGAGTTCTAATATATATATACAGAGGTGTCGCTTCAAAGAATTTAATCTATGCATAGCTGATAATGATACTGAGTGTGAAAGAGCAGAACACGTTTTTGTGTCATTCCAAAAGGTAAACAAACTGGTATGGAACATAAAAGTAAACATTTTACATCTTGACAGTAACACATTTCTATGAACCAAAAATATGGAGTCAAATTAGACAATTGTATGGTCGGCTTATATGCGGGTTTTTGCAAAAACTGGCCATTTTAAAGCAGTTTTAGGGGGTCGGGTTATATGCGATGTAGGCTTATATGTGAGTATATAAGGTAATTAATTTGTAAAGTTAATTCCAAGTTCTTTGCCATGTAATGAATGAGAGTGATTATTTTGTTTCTTTTAAAATTTTAATTTACTAGTGAAATAATGCTCTCGGTCATCACATTTTTATATTAATGAAGATAGTCAGAGAAAGCTCCTTTCTTTCATTGAATTAAAGGAAAAAGCAAGAAATTAAATGAAATGAAAATAATAGCAGATACCGTTTGAATATCCCAGTATGATCTGCTTCGGTCTGCTTTGACGACATCTGCCACAGCCCTTAAAACTGAATCTAAATTATCTTTAACTGAATCACTATTGAACTTCCATCTGTAAAACAGATCAATAACATTTCATATATTTTGTTTTATATGTATATATTATATATATATATATATATATATATTTATATATACAGAGGTTAATATTTTCTACACATTGTCTTCAGGCTTTTGTGAAAGACAGCAACAGTAGTAAACTCTTAGATTTCCAAAACTTAATTAACAAAATGTTCAAAATATGATTATGAATATGTAACATCCTAAAAGTGATGCAATTTAGTTAGTTCTACAAAAACTGAAATCCCTTTTATTCTTAAATAGTTTTGTGTTTGCTTCAACTGCCCCTTTAACTTTAGTTAGTTCTCACAAAAAAACTGTTGCCTTATAACAGGTTAAAAAAAAATATTAATTAAAAGCCAGCACACTTTTCCTGATGACTGTGCAGGCTCCTTATCCCAGGTAACCAAACACCAGGTCGCAGAAGACACTGAATAGGAGCTTGTATTTGACTGATGAAAGTGGCTTTAGGCTTGTCCATGAAGGTTGCTCTACAAAACTTTGAATGAAAAACATACATTTTGAAAATAAACTCATGGTTGGAACTTTTTAAGTTATACCTGAGGCAAAAAAAACTGCATTCATATAATATAAGATACATTTTTTTTATTGCAGCAATATTAATTAGTGTTATATTATAAAACTACTGTCATTGTTGGTAAATTAATTTATATTGCCTTTAATTAACTTATTGGTATTCTACACTACAGTTATATACACAGTTATGCTAGGCAGATAGGCCTACTGATAAGAATAACATATGACATATTATTATTATTTTTAATATTATGACATAGTTCACATAGTCATAGGCCTATTATTATTATAATATATATTTATTATTTTATATTTAATTTAAATTTAAGAGGGCCTTGAACCGGCTTGATTTTAAAGGTAAAACTTATAAGTACAAGGTCGTGAGTAACTATCGTTATGTTATTATTTGTTGTTAACAGAAACTAAGACTACTAAGACTTAAGAGTCTCAGACAGAGTGAGTGGTATTAATTTAATAAATTAATATTTGGGCCAATATTTGTTTTAAACTAACTTAACTAATGACTAATTACCTTAAATTTAAACTACGGCACCTTTGTTTTCGGCTTTGATTAGTGAATTTTATGAAAAAAGCGCAAGAGAAAATTGTCCTTCACTAAATTGTCTTTTTGAAATAGTAGAAACGATATATAAATAGTTATAACAGCCCCAATTTCTCTACTTTTATTACTAATAGAAAGCAAGGACAACACGCAAGGCAGGAGATCGAAAGGTGCGTGTTTACAAAATAAATGACCTTTGAACCTTGCCTTCGTGGCGGTGTTCACGTTTTATGTATTCAATAAAATTACACGTTTAAAATGAAACTCAAAACGAGAAGAAAAAAAACAACAGACCTGATCAAAGGAATTGCGTTTGACATAAAAACCATACTTTGAGCCTCTACTTTATTTTTTTCATTTGGGGTAAAGTTACCAAATACCTTTTTGCCAAAACTAATGAAAATTAAAATTACCGGCCACCTTTCAACACTCACCAGACTTACAAGCGACTCAAGCAAGCCTGGGGGGGGGGGGGGGGGGGGAGGGGGGGGGGGGGGGGGGTGGGGGGGGGGGGGGTCGGTGTATTATATTTAATACTAGCCAATAAATATAAAGGGCTATGTTCTGGTTTGCACTTGGAAAACGAAGGGGCTATTCGGACCCGGGTCCGAGAAGTGAGAAGTTGGGATTAAAATGTAAAAAAAATATATTATTGTTAGCTTGTAAGACAAAATTTGGTATCAAATGAAAGATAATTGAATGGACTGTATGTTTGTAAACGTAATTCTTCAGTTGAACTAAAATAAACTACCACAAATGACATCCGAATAGAATTGAGTCTAAAGGGACCCGGGTCCGAATAGCGGCGCTGCGTGTCCGGGGACCATTTTGTTTAAATGCTATTCGGAGTTCATTTGTTGTTCCCCCCGGGGTGGTAAGGGGGGACTTTAGAGACGTTAATTATCCACCCCAACCCCCTAGAAAGTCCGGCCCGGTTCCTGCGTAAGCAGAAGCCCGGCTGGCCAGGTGTTTCTTCTCTGGGGGTGCCACGCTCAGCGGCCAATCGAGTGGAGGTCGGGCGTGGCGGTCTTAGGGGCGGAATGTCCCTGGCATCCCGCTTCGCGGCCCGACCGGAATAAAGACCACTGGGGGAGTGGTTGACGGCCGGTTTGGCTGGCGGGGTGTTGCGTTGGGGAGGACCATATGAGCCTCGGCTCGGTGTTCGCTGATTTTCTTAAATTAGTTAGTTAATTTGTTGTAGTTTATTTTAGTTAAACTGAAGAAGTATGTTTACAAAAATATATTCCATTCAATTATCTTTCATTTGATACCTACTTTTGTCTTACAAACCCTACAATAATTTTACAATATTTTTTAATAAACCCAAACTCTCACTTCTCGGACCCGGGTCCGAATAGCCGCAGCCTTTGGAAAAAAAAAACAACAAACTTCTAAACCATCTTCGGCGTAGATGTAAATTTAGGGATCTGTCAGAAACACAGCGCTAAAGATACTAAAGCAGGAAATTTTGTAAACATTGAATTGCGGGCCTCCCCCGTTCCAGTTAACATTCAAGCTTTGCACAACCAAAGTTCAGGATTTAAAGACAAATCCAGCTTTTAAAAGATGTCTTATTAAAAAAAAAAATGGTTCTCGCATATGCCAAAGCCATTTCTGTTTATCGATTAAAGTAAAATAGGACACCCCCCCCCCAACCCCTTGAGGCCATCCATAAGTGACTTCACGCTTCTCGGAGGGGGGGGGGAGGGGCGTCACATTTTTGTGATGCTGGTGGGAGGAGGCAAAAATGGTTCTCGCATATGCCAAAGCCATTTCTGTTTATCGATTAAAGTAAAATAGGACCCCCCCCCCCCCACCCCCTTGAGGCCATCCATAAGTGACTTCACGCTTCTCGGAGGGGGGGGGGGAGGGGCGTCACATTTTTGTGATGCTGGTGGGAGGAGGCGGCGAAATCGGGACACATTTGCCTGAAATCATTTTTGGATGGTCTCATTCCGAATGGGACCATTTCAGCGATCCTTACGATAGGATCTCTATGAAAATTCTTCAGATAAAATTTAAGTGGACTTTTCATAATAGTTATTTCATTCGTTTTTGGAAGGAATTTGCAAAGATGTTGCCTTTTAAATATTTACTATTGGGAACCCGAGGGCTAAAAAATAACTTAATCTTTAATAATTGAAAACGTTGAGGATTTAGGTTGGATAATGAACAAAATTTATTTTTAAAAATTGTCCCGTTAAAATCGTTTGAGAAAATGAAAAAAAAAAATAAAAAAATAAAAATAAATAAAAGAGTTTTGTTTAAAATAAAATTGAGGACGCTTGAAAAAAAAAAATGTAGATATTAGTTTGAAATCGCCCGATATTTTAAAAGGGTTTACACCTTATTTAGAGATTATTTTTGTGCGTGTATATTTAAGACATATAATTACCGATAATAAAGAAAAAAAAATCCCCATTTACATATTATGTAAATTGATGAACACCGGTGTGACGTAGTTTTAAGTTTTTTTCATTGTTTAGTGGCTAGCACCGTTTCAAACTGTTAAAACTATGGTGTCATTATCTGATGTCATTAAAACAATCTAGACAGAAACTTATTGTGTATGGCATGTAAGATGCTTATAATAGATGTACAAAATATAAATAATTTAATTAATTAGAAATATTAAAATAGAAATATTAGAAACACATCGTGGATATTCAAAAGCTTGGTCAGACAGCGGCTTCCTCGTTGGACACATCTATGATCAATGAAATTGAACATCTTGGATCTGAGGAGGATGAACTTGAAGATACACAGCCGCTTAAGAGACAATTAGAATTTGAAACACAAAAGAAACTTCAGGCTATGGATAATACTTCCAGACCAACGGATGGAGACATTGATATATTGGTATCAATAAAAGTGGCTTTAAGAATGGCGGTTCAAGTGGAAAATATCTAGAAATTGCGTATGATACCCTACGGTCTATTCCTACGGGCCAGTGTGGAGTCAGAGCGGGTGTTCTCGTCATCAGGTTAATTTTGTAACCAAGAGAGCAAACATTATACACTTGGTCATTTTTACGATTTCATTATTTAAATTTGACCAAAGATTAAAACAACACCATGTATTTTAATATTTGATTAACAAAACTTTTCAAATTTCAAAAGTTACGTGTATTATTTTTTTTCGGTGAATTTAAGTCTGAAGTTAAACTTTTGTGTTATTGTTAAAAGCTTATTAAATATTACAATTAGAGACCGACCGAATTTCGGCTTCGGCTTCGGTTTTGGCCCCGAAAGTGGCCATTTTATCACTTTCGGCCAAGTTTCGGTTTCGGCCGAAACTGAAAAAATAGCTTTCGGCTTAATTTCGGTTTCGGTCGAAAGAGAAAGGTTAACTTTCGGTTTTTCTTCGGTTTCGGCCGAAATTGACTTAGACTCTCGGCCATCCGGCCGAAAGTGACTAAACGATATTTAACAACAAACTAAATGACATTTATGAACAAACTAAACGATCTTTGAAACAAACTAAGCAATCTTTAAGAAATATCTAAGCGATCTTTAATAACAATCTAAACGATCTTAAAGAACAAACTAAACGATTTTTAAGACCGAACTAAATGATCTTTAAGAACAAAACACATGATCTTTAATAATAAACTAAATGGTTTTATAATAATAAACAAAGCGATCTATGTATGCAGAATGTATGCGGGAACGAATTTCAAAATATCTTAATATTTCATTTTAGGTTTCGGCTTCGGTTTCGGCTTCGTTTTCGGTCAAAATTCATTTTTAACTTTCGGCCTTTCTTCGGTTTCGGCCGAAAGTCATTTTTAAACTTTCGGCCTTTTTCGGTTTCGGCCGAAAGGCATTTTAAACTTTCTGCCTATTTTCGGCTTCGGCCGAAATCAGAAAATCACTTTCGGTCGGTCTCTATTTTCGATGTCTGCAGAATATATGCGGGAACGAATTTCAAAATATCGTAACATTTCTTTTTCGGTTTCAGCTTGGGCCGAAATTCATTTTTAACTTTCGGCCTTTTTTCGGTTTCGGCCGAAAGTCATTTTTAAATTTTGGCATTTTTTCGGTTTCGGCCGAAAGTCATTTTAAATTTTAAATATCGAAAATACCAGGATTCCGGTATTGGTAAACTACCAATAAAAAATACCGGTTTTGGCAAAAGGGACCGGTTTTGCGACCGCTAGTCGCAAAGTGGGTGCTGGCGGGCCGCATTCGGCCCGCGGGCCGTATGTTGTGCAGGCCTGATCTAAGTTAAAAGAAAACAAGAGATTGCCTCACGTTAAGTCTCATGCAATTTAAAAAAAGGATCGGTGGATACAACCCCAAGTGAATAAGAGCCATCTGTCTATGTTGAATCTGTCATCCATCTTTGCTATTGTACGTCATAGCTTTGTGTGTGCGGGTTCCAATGTCCTCTGTACTCGGGAAATAAAACATGATCGTAAACGCCATTATAAGAAACATATGGACAGATGTATAGGCGGCGCCATTATAAGAAACACAAGGACATATGCATAGGCGGCGCCATTATAAGAAACATATGGACATATGCATAGGTGGCGCCATTATAAGAAACACAAGGACATATGCATAGGCGGCGCCATTATAAGAAACATATGGACATATGCATAGATGGCACCATTATAAGAAACACAAGGACAGATGCATAGGAGGCGCCATTATAAGAATCACAGGGACAGATGCCAGGGTGGCGTCAACATAAGAAACATTGGGACAGATGCATAGGCGGCACCATCATAATAACCATAGGGATAGATGCATAGGTGGCGCCATTATAAGAAACATAGGGACAGATGCATAGGCGGTGCCATTATAAGAAACACAAGGACAGATGCATAGGCGGCGCCATCATAAGAAACATAGGGACAGATGCATAGGTTGCACCATTATAAGAAACATAGGGACAGATGCATAGGTGGCACCATTATAAGAAACGCAAGGACAGATGCTTAGGCGGCGCCATTATAAGAAACATAGGGACAGATGCATAGGTGGCACCATTATAAGAAACATAGGGACAGATGCATAGGTGGCACCATTATAAGAAACGCAAGGACAAATGCATAGGCGGCGCCATTATAAGAAACATATGGACAGATGCATAAGCGGCGCCATTATAAGAAACATAGGGACAGATGCATAGGTGGCACCATTATAAGAAACGCAAGGACAGATGCATAGGCGGCGCCATTATAAGAAACATAGGGACAGAT